TTTGACTTTACCCAACTGTAATACTCAGCTAGAGAAAGAAAATGGCAAATACTGCGTGTTTATTCCTAGTGACCATTGCAATAAAACAAAAAGAAAAAAGAGTAGCACAGCCTGATATGGGGAACTGTGCAAGCATTGTTAAAAGCTGGAGCTGTGCCTTGTGCTAGTTGTGAAGCCAGAAAGTTGAGATGTGGACAGTGGAAAGGTGATCCTCCAGGATCACCTATGCATGAAGTAGGAGACAAGCTCACGGGAGAAGTGAGGGAGGAGGGGAAGCATTGAAGTGAGGAGATATCCTTGCCTTCTTCCGCTGACTGAGCTGAAAGTAGCCTGGGCCAGTGTCCAGCAGGACATTCCTCAAATTTACTTGCCATGATACTGCAGTGGAGGCATCAGAAGATTTATTACTTCTTGGGGTAAGGAAGGAAGTAAGAAAAATTAAAAAAGCTGGCCAAATGTATGAGGTTGCAATAGCTTTATGTGTCTTTTTCTCATTTCGCTTTCGTTAAATCAGTTGTGTCAAAGGAGAGTCTGACTGGGTGGGATTTTGTGGTAACCCACGGTAATATGAATACTTTGACTATTATAAAAAAAATAATCTGTTTTTTTCACCAGTGTTCTGCTGGCTAACCACTCATCTTGATCACTTTTTTTTTTCTTCTTCTCCAGATGAAGGAAAAAAAGGAGGAAAAGAATTAAAGGTTTTTAAATACTCTCAGGCAATCTAGTGCTTTCCTTTTCTATGTTTCTGGTTTCGGAACCAGGTGATTGTGAGAGTAATAGTTGTGAGGAAATCTTAGGATAGTCAAACATGCTTAAGATAGTCAAGATAGTCTTAAGATAGTCACACAATGAGATGTCATTCATTTTACATGGTCTGGAATATGAAGAAGCCAGGAATGGTGCCTGAGTGCTGGTGGTGCCTCTCCGCAGCTGCAGGTGTATTTGCTTGCCAGGAAGAGAAAGGTGAATGATCCTGAAATGAGGAATCATGCCAGAAGCAGGAGATGCACTCCTTGCCCATTTTTGGGTGGCTATGCTATTTCAACTGCGTGTGTTGGCCCTGTAAATGAATGCGTGTCTTTGAACCGGCCACAAAACACAGTGGAAAAAATGTAAGGATTTTACATTAATGGAATGTGCGTTCCTGAAAATCTTAAATTTTACAATGGTGTTAAACAATTTGGCCTCAGAAGTGACTGGTTATAAACTTGTCAAGTTTCTAAATTTTTGCTGTAAAAAAGTCTGTATTGTCATCTAAGACACATAATATTTTTATCTGCCAGATTAACTTTTTCTCCATGATGGATAAGAAAAATATGCACTAATCTCTCTCCAGAAATCAAAAGGAATTGAAAATTTGGGGTGCATGCATCACTGACATTTTCTGTGAAGATTTGAGTTGAAATGGATGGGGAGTTGGGGTCCATGCTTCCAAAAGAGATGAGGGGGAGGGGGAGAGGTTGGGCTAAAGAAAGAATTTAATTCAGCGTAGGTAAGAAGGACATGACAGCTTAGTTTCTCCGTAGCAAGCATCCTATCTAGCAGGATGATGAAGCTATCACCCAGTGGAGTCACATTGCGTAGTACCTGGAGCAAAGAAAGATTTACAGCTTGACTAGGGATGCTGAACCTCTTGTCTGGATACAACTGATGTCTTTTGAAAAAACTTAGTTTGAAAGTAATTGCTTGTTGGCTCTTCCTTCACAGCCACAAGAGAGCATTCATCTTGATTAAAGAATATTTGTAGGTATTTTCTCTTTGCCAGGATGCTAGAGAGTGTTTTCCGCGATCGTTGCTTTTTAATACTAAAGGAGCAAATTTGTCAGTGTTGTGTTGCCGTTTCTCAAGTTCTACTAAAAACTCATGGACAGAGACTTTCTTTAATGTCGCTATAATTTTTTCATATGTAGGTTACAAATCGCTATGCTAAATAAATTAAACTATTCATTCAAGCTGAAAAGCCTTTTAAAATCTTAAAAGGTAGCAGAGTATCTTCAGATTATGGATGACTTTGATGTCATTACAGTCTAACCTGTGCTAAAATAAATAGTCATAATTAAAACTAACATTACTCTTCTTTAAATCTAATCTTAAAATTTAGCCAACACATAAACAAAGAATAGTTTAATATAAATTAAATTTAAATAAATTAATTGCAAGCAGCATGAAAACTTTTGATACAAAGATAATTACAGTGACTGTGGTGGAGTAAATTAGCTTTCGGGTGTGTCTGGTATTTAAAAAAAAAAAAAACCATCTTCAACTGCTCTTTCTTTTTAGGAACTTCAATCCAGAATGAAACTAATCTAGTAGAAAAACTATCCTAGTAGAAAAATACCTTATACTCTTATTCACAGGTTAAATTGCTTGGAAGTGCTCCTGATTTTACTGCACATCTGACAGATGATGATGTAGGGCTTGTAAACGGTGCTGCATGCAGCCATGATGGTGTTTGGTCAAGGTCAGCTGGATGTGCTCTGCCTTCGCGTGTCATGGGTGCATGCAATATTCAAGGAGACGTGGTATGAGATGCTTTGCTTTCAGCATCATCCGTGTGGCCTGAGAAAGATTTTCTTGCCCAGAGACATGCATTTTCAGAAAGGAGAGCTGAAAATGCTAGGCTTTTTTTTTGTAGTCAGAAATGAAAATAAGTGAGAAAACCAAGGCAAGTGGCCTTATTTAGAAACACGCTACCATTCATTGTGTGTGTCTAGATTGCTTGCTTTTTTTTATTATAGGAAAGTTACAAATCTAGGACAACTTTTCCAAAAGAAATTGATTTCTGCTTTCTAGTACCTGCAATTTAATTCATTTCTTTCAAAGATACTCATTCAGACCTTCATGTCTTATTTATTTGACTTTTTTTTTTTAAAATTTTTCTAACCCAGGTGCTGACAATGTCCTGTTACGTGAACAACACAGCTTTTGTCTGGGGAAAACAGAAGAGGTCTGTATTCATTGGTCCTTTGATTAATGGTTCTTGAAGCGTTGCTTATACTGGGAAGCTTCTCTCTCACGGAGCAGATTTGTGAAGACATGTAAACAGTGGCTTTGCTGCAGGATTGAAATTGGGTGCACAGACTTGAGTAAATCTTTTGATGTAGATAAGGAAGACTGTGAATGCTGAGGTCACTGTAGGAAAATGTGCAAGTGCTAACAGCTGATCAGGAGCTGGCTTAAAGGAGGCTCCACTATACACACTTTTGCAGAAGACGTGTCACAGAGAATTCTGCAAGTATTTTCTTTGGGTTTGTCTGATCTTCACTTCTTCCTTCCAGTCCTGTGCATCATCACAATAGCTGCAAAATGTATATACATCCATATATCACATCATCACATAGCTGTAAACATATATATATACACATGTAAATAACATGTAGGAAATTCTGTCTGCAGAATCAAGGCAGTAAGAACTAGATGGAATAAAGCACCTACTTGCCTTCCTTCCATGTTCCAGGTTCAAACCAGATGCTTCATGACTCAAAGACTTCAGACAGAACATTTACATTCTGTTAATGGCTAGCCATCTTTTTTCTGTGGAACAAATACATATAAAATGATTAATGTTTAAACTCTGGTTTCCGCCGGCGAGTTTATGCTTCAGAGAGGTATATAGCTTTAATGGCACAGAATTAGAATAAAAACTGTAGTGTTCTGAATACAGTTTTCTTGTTCTTGAAATCATCTATCTCTTTCTAATGTAGTTAGTTCGCTCATTCAACAGCTATTTTTAATGGGAGTTCCTGCTAAGCCTTATGTGTACACGTATTTTTAGAAATTTGGCAATTTTAGATATAACAGTGCTACATTATTTAAAAATACAAACTTGTGGAACACTCAGTACTTCTATCTTTCAGAATAACTGTTATATGCCAGTGTTTTATTTTTCTGTGTATTTGGATGCACATGTACTTTAGCTCTGTTCTTCTAACAGATTTCTCTTTCAAATGTTTTCCAGTAGGCTGTCTGCCTTTAAACCTTGAGTTTTTCTTTGCATTCTTTGGGGCAGTTTACCAGATACTTCTATCCGATCTGCACTTACCAGAGTGTCCATTGTGTTGAATTTTAGCACTTCTCCTGTGAAAGCCAGTTTCAACAGCTGCTTCTCAGTTTCTAGTAATGGTCTTTAAAGTGAATACATTCTTATTCAGGTTAAGGAGTTTGCTTTTTTATGATCCAAAATGTCTTCTTCTGTTGTTATAAACTGAATTTTACAGTGCCTTTATGGCAGGTGCAGTGTATCAGGTAAATTGCTTCGTTTTTCTAGACTCTCTACTGTGCAGGAAAGTAATCTTTTTTTGGAAAGGTTTTACATTTGACCTCATTTCTGTTGAGTTTAGTGGCAAGAACTGAGTTCTTGACAAATCCTTCCCGTGTTGCAAAATATCTGAGTAAAAAGATGATGCCTTAATTCCATTTCTGCTGCATTACTCATACTGTCTTACACTGATGTTCTCTAACCCTTAAAAACTCAACCTGAATTCATGTTTGAGGGCAAACATTGGAGTAGCACTCCCTGAAGCAGAGGTTTGGCCATCTCAGGGGGCTAGTGGTACAAAGGTGCAACTTGGCTACCTGAGGGGGTTCCTCCAGCTGCTTCTCAGCTGTGATGTTTGGTGGGCAGTGGTGTATTGATGTGACACCCGGGCACCTTGTTTGGTGTTTGACCTCCCTCCACTGCAGCAGGGGAGGGATGATGTTTGGTGGTGTGGAGGCGGAATGGTCTCTGCAGCCACTTCAAGAAACGCTTCTGCTTGGAACTTGTCTAGGGGTAGAAGGATTGTTGAGATCATGAACAAAATCCAAGTATTTGAAGAAATAGTTTGTAAGAGATCCAGCTTGTACATAGTATGCTGTTTCCACAGTCAGTGGTGAAGAATAAATATGTAACACAAGAACTAGCTCTATCTCTTGTTATTCCAGGTCTGGGACTCTGAAAACTTCAAAGTGAGGCATGTGTCCTTCTGAAAGTTGAAAAGTAGCCCCCTGGTAGGGTCATGAACCCAAGACAAGTTTTTGTGTCTGTACTGATGTTTGGAGTAGCTGGTCTACTCCTCTTCATGTATCTACAGGCTTGGATTGAAGAACAACATACAGGTACAGGAGATTTTCTTTCTTTCTTTTTCTTCCTCTTTTTTTTTTTTTTTAAATGTAATTGCATCTGTTACTTAAAAGATGACTGTGAAGTCCAAATACATGTGGAAAACTGACGGGAGTCCCCCTGTTTGGCGGTAGAATGCCATTGAAAACAGACTTGTTTTAATTGCTACACTTCATATAAGCATTAAGAAATTTCTTAACTCACATGAAAAGATGCCCTCAGCTACCTAATCGTATTGTATCAGCTTCATCTGCAAAGGCAAGTGTTGCAAAAGCATATTGTGCGTGTGTGAAGCCAAGCAAGTCCAGCTTAGAAATAATTCTCTGTGCTGATTTTCTGTGAGTTTTGTACATTTTATTTTGTGTGGCAAAAAGGTTTTTTTGGAGAATTACTGCTATATCTTGTAAACAGAAGTGGGCTTCTAAGCAGCAAAGCTCATATGGAATCATCGTATCCTAATTTTTTTGTTGTGGGGGTTTTTGTTAGAGTTAGGTACTGCACTTACAAGCCTTTTTTAGATAAAGCCTCAGAGTCCTATTGCAACTTCAGGTAAATCTGCATTGGCTCAGGGTTACACTTCTGAATTGAATTTCTGTTTTTTCCCTATTCACCATATCTGAATTTACACCATATATTGATCAAGATATCTTTTTGGATGAAACTAAAACAGACTATTCACCCCAAGGTCTAATGGATGCTCGGTTCACTGGGTCAGTCTAGAGTTAGTCTGAAGGACACTCCCCCTTCCCCCTAAAATATGTATAAGGTGAATGTCAGTAAGGTCCTTAACACCCACTGATTTGCACTGCAAATCCACTTCTGTTGTGCCATGTTACTTGATTGCGTATCCTCGATTTTAGCTGTATACTTGTTTGGAGTTCTTTGTTCTGTTTTTTATTCCCCCACACACACACATTAACAATATAAAACATGCCCAACTTAAGAAGTCCTGACATTTGTACTTCATGTCTCTGTTGCTCAGCTTCCATTTCCCCTGTAAAATTCTTTATGGTATTCTGATAGTGTTGTGAAGAAATACATCTGTAAAACCATATTAGTCTTCTGGCTTTATTGATCTGCGCTTTTATTCTGTGTGAGGCGCTGGGCTCTATGTTTTGGAGAGTGGTGGTGAGGGGACAATCTACTGCATCATTCCTGCAATTGTTTGACAATGACCTTGAGGTTTATTTATTTTTTTTTAACTAAGTGTGATGATCACAATGTTAATTTTGGCTTGTTAGTGTTTCTGGGCTGATCCAAGGCGTTTACAAGCTTGTATTAACATAACTGTTAAAAGAGGTAGTATAGGCTCCCTTTGGAAGGGTCAACTGTAATCAGTTGTTGACACAAGTGTGCTGGCAGGAACAGAGCACGCTGGGGGGTTGGAAGGGAAGTCTTCCTTGAAAATCTCTACTCTTCTCAGGAATGTTAAGGGCAGATATCCTTGCTTTCAAGGTAGTTCAGGAATGTAGATGATGACTGTAGATTATTGATTTATTTACTTGCTTGCATTCTTCACATTCCTTACATCTTCTCTTGTGCTGTGATTAACCTTTCTTTCCTTGCAATGCTCTTTGTTGCTATTTCTCGCTGCGTTTTTTCCACTCCTTTCTTTTGTCTGTATCTGTCTACTATTAAAAAGAAACAGGAAAAATATAATAAAGGGCAAATTAGAACATACTGTGTTCATATGGGCAACTAGATGCTTTCTTTGGGGTTTTATTTGATGTATTGCCATAATCTTCTGGAGGAGAGAGGCTTCTCCTTGTACACATAAGTCATTTGCACGTGAAAACATTTCCATAGTAAAATGGAAACTATCAGAGAATAACAGAATGCTTAGTGAGCTTAAAGTGTGACTGCAGTTTTGAATGCCCTTTTGTCTCACTGAACTGCTGTTGTGAAGCACTCCAGCAAGATCCAAAAAAAAATAATTTTGGCACTCTCTTCACTCTCTAGGTTGTGCACATCAGGAGTACAGAAAAAAATAATTCTTCGGTGTCCGCTTTTGCCTCTTCTTCCAATTTAATATGTAGAGAGCCATTCTTTTTTATTTCAAACACCTGTATTTCTTCTAAACCCCCTGTAGCTTAGTTCTCTAATGTTCTCCCCTGTATGTTGCTTAAGAGTCAATATAAAATAAAACATATTTACATATTTACAATATACTTTGGTTACGGGCATTTTGCACTCTTTTTTCTTTTCTACTGTGTTTTTCATATTGCCACGTGCTGTGTACTGTGGCTTTTTTGGGGATAAGCTGTTTCTGGAGACTCCCAAACTGACAAGTATCTTTATAAGGATTTTATGTACTGCTTTAATCATGTCACTAGTTGCACAGCTGTAAAACAGCTAGTTTTAATCTACAAGTGGCTGAGTGTGTCATTTGATGTTCCATTAAGAAATGGAAAGTGCATCTCATGCTACAGGCTCATAGCACAGCAGTTGAGTAGAGATAAGTGTCTATTGTAGCCAGAACTATTTTTATCTTCCATGGTGCCCTGCTCAAGGCATTCATGTTTGCCTTTGGTTGCTAAAGGATGGAAAGTTGGCTGTATTTGAGTGTAGGAGAGTATCTGTTTTACACAAATATAGTGCTGCTGCTTGCCACCCTGTTCGTCTGAAAGACTTGGGGCCTTTATAAATCACAATCACTGGAAGAGATACTGCATTTTACTAGATTGTTGTTTCTGACATTCATACTTATTTCTCTGGCTTTCCTAGCTGTGGTGTGAATGATTCTCAACCAGATGTAGATTTTATGGGAAGTTGGAATATTCTGTGGTAATGCCCTGTTCCTTATTAGTTGTTGTCTAGACTGCTGTATTAAAGTCAGACTACTTACTTTCATACTCACCATTCACATTGCCACCTTTTCTCTTGCTGTTCATAACTTTTCAACTAGACCTTATGCCACTTCCCTTTCATAGTTCGACTTCTTCCTGTTTCCCCCTCTCTCTACTTGCTCTTTGCATGCCTGAGATCTCAACTGTAGTTTTATTCTCATTTGTCTTATTTTCCTCTAGAACAGATCTTCTCTAAACATCTTTTTTCCTGATTTACTTTTTCAAACTTACCTCATCACTCAAATTTATCCAGCACAGGAACACCTTCACTAATCTTTCATCTCATCAGTCTACCTCAGATGCACCCACAGGCTCAGCAGCTGGATGCATCTCTCAGTTCAGCCATGTCCTCTGTTCCCTCCCATTGTGCTTGGACTCCAAATTGTTTCCCATCACGTTCATCATCCCTATACTTTAACAAAGAGAAAATATTTCATTTAGAAGTGTCTAAGAAACAGCTGCTGGCTACATGGTGGTCCTCTCTGATGGCTTTTCCGAGACGTTAGCAGACTGAGGGAACAGGTGAGTTTCTTGGTTTGGCTCTGTGCATGGAGGGTATAAAGACAGAATGATATATCCTTACTTAAATGTATCAGAGACCTTCTGTTGGGTGTCTTCAGTTCACCTCAGTGGAACAGCAGGAAACAGAGCTGTTGAGAACAGTCTGACATAAGCGTCAACACATAGAGACTTCAGCTGGCCGAGAACTTCATTGACATCAACATTGATAATGTAATGTATATGGAGTGCTTCAAATTCTCCATTTATAAGTATATTCACCTATGTATAATTTCATGTACGTAACTGAAGCTTGATGTCAATTCAACTAAATCCCACAGTTTTACTTGACAGTTGCCCATACAGTCTTGCATTCTTCAGTGAAAGCATCAAATATTGTGGCACTGATTAAGAACAAATTACTATTTATTATATGCTTAGTAATTTCCAGCACTGTTAATCTTCTTCAGGGGAAGAAGACTGCTTCGTCTTTCAGAGTTGATGTTGGGTTTTATACTAGAAAATACCTGAATTAGTGGGGAGTGGGATTCAAAGGACACTTGCATTTTAATCCTGCGTTGTTATAGACACAAACTGGAGTTTTAATTTAGAAATTCCAATTCCATACTTTAAAACTTTTCTTTTTTGAAGAGGTTGATATGATTTAGTGTGACTGATGGCTACCAAATCATCTGAGAATATCTTTGTGAATAGATCTGCATGATGATCTTGTTGTGTGGGGTTTTCATGGGTTGCTTTCCCCTCTTATAGTCCTTCTTTTGTGAAGTATGCCTAGTAAATTTATAATTATTCAGTCTTTCATGGGGTGCAGTATGATCTCTAATTAATGTGAAGAAGGCTGCACTGCCTCTGTCCTCCCATTTCTGTTTCTTGACCATGGCAAAGTGTAACTGTTTTGTTTTTCAGCAGTTTTGTACATCCAACTCCTGAGTAGCTTCGTCATACAGACTTCATCCCCATTCCTCAGGCAACAGCTCTTGTTTTTGTAGAAGTATCAGAATGAAAATCCAGATAAAAGTCCCATTTTAAGAAAAGTTTGAGATTCCACGACCCTGCATGATCCATGAGCTGGGAAAACTATGTAAACAATTTAGTCTCCTACTGCTGCAACCAATCCAGGCTGTATCCATACTACTCAGCATAAGCAGGTGGACTTTTTCCCCCACTTTGCCAGACTTGATAATTCAAGGGGATCTTTTAGGTCCTTTGGTATAAGTCCATAGAGCAAGATTCTTTCTTACTTTGACTCTCTAAATAGCAAATGAACATGTGTCTGTATGCGGTAGGTATTTAGTCTTTGCTGTTTCTGCAGGTTGATTTTTATTTAAACATTGCCTAAGTGGAGCAACACAGATATGGCTTGAAGGACAGTTCATATGCGACAGATTGGAAAGGCGACTGTATACACAGTTTTCCCAGACAGTCTTCAGTAAATACACTAAACTAATATATTTGTAGAAACCAGGTTTGTAAATAAAGGAGAAAAGGACACTGCTCAGTAATGGTTATTAATCATGAATAATTTAGTTCTTTTAGTAACCTTGAAATATTTCTGTTGTCAAAGGCTTGGGTACTTATGGAAGTCTTGCTAACTTTGCTGGAGGCCACTGATATGGCAAGCAAATCTCCCTGGGTTACAATGTCCAATTACTAATGAGGCCGTTCTAATGATGCTGGGTCTGTTTAGGTTTTACCCTTCTGTTTAGAATATGCTGTCTTCTCTGCGTAAGGTGTTTTTACTTCTTTGCTTTTTTAAGAATATGCTTCGTTATTGGATTGAAGCACAAAAGCACCACTTCAGTTCCAGAAAGCCCTTTCCTGAAAAGCTGATCATTCAGGAAACAAAGCCCTGCAATTTTGTTTTATCAGTGCACTGAATATGTGATACAGTACCATTGAAGATGTACATATAGCCTTGCAAAGCAAGAAGGACGAAGAGGTGTGTTTTACCCAGCAGGTCATCATTTAGAAGTAGAAAAATTTTAGAGATAAAAGTTTCTCTATTCCTGCCTTGCTCCGTTTTGCTTGAGTGTACTGCGCATTTTCAGAATAACAAGTGGTTGCTGCTGTAGTATGCTTCAGGCTGCTTACCTCTCCGTCTGATGTTGAATTGCTTTGGTATATTTCTTGATTACAGACAGCCCTATTAGAACATATGGTGTGGTCTCTGCAGAAATCCAAGGGAAACCTTTGGTTTATAACTATAATTAAATCAGAAATCCTCATATTTGCTTTTAGTGTGTGCATATACATATACGTGTGTGTGTGTACATTTATTTTTAGTATCATCTTTATTTCCCTTCTTTGTGTGAGAGTAGGGACTGCTGGTAGGAAGAAACATATTAGACAGAGACCTGTGTTCTCACCACAGATATTTGTTTACAAGGGGATCTGTTTATACCAAAGATTTGTTTTGGTGTTCAGTCACAAAAGTCTTTTGTGTCTTTTTGCTTTCATTTTACTCCTTGTTTCTGTAAATAGGTTATTGGTATAAACTAGGCATAATTCTTGATAATGCAACATCTGTGAAATAAACTATAAAGATCGTGAGGCTGACAGGTTACAAGAAATAAGAGCTATTTCGGTGTACAAAGGATTAATGTCCTGCACATTATGTGTATGGTTTAGCTGGGGGGAAAAAAAGAAAAAGTGATTTATGACTCAGAGCAAAATGTTCAAGGAAGAGGAAAATTTTCTTTTAACTTTTTTTTAAACATGTAAAAAACCACTATTTTTTTTTTTGCTCTTTTTTGGTTTAGAGGTAATCACCATGGCATGGCAGCATGGAGAGTGGCTAGGCTTTCAGGGTCCCTGCTGCCTCAGACAACCGTTTCACATACCTTGTTCTATTTATGTTAATAGCATATTGAAAGAAAAAGAATGTTTCTACATTTTTACAGCACTTGTGGAAAGGATTTCATAACTATCAGTTTGAAACTGGGAAGATTCACGTTACATTAACATACAGCGTTTTCCTTCTCAGTTCCTCCAACCTTGAGCCTTGTGGCTGTCTTCAGCCACAAAGGAGAGTTAATTGGGCACTGTCAAATGCTATATTTGAACAGACAAAAACCAAACCAACAGACAAACAAAAAAGAACATAAGAAAAAGAAACAAATAAAAAAACTCTCCAAAGTTTGTTCATTTCTATCCAAAGCCAGGGTCAGTGATCAAATCGGTGTACAGGCTCCTTTTACTATAAATATTCATTTCTTAAGAAAACTGCAAAATATGCTGTATTTCAGGCATCACCCTGTGTATAAGTGAAACTATTCCCCAGTGTGTGTGAGCCATACTTGATGGAAAGTGAAGGGGAATAAACATATCACAAACATCTGTTTAATTTGGATTTCAATTATATTTTATCTTGATTTAGCAAAGACATGCAGCAGCACCCTGTACTGCCTGGAAAGCCTTAGTTTGGCAGCAAGTGGCTATCGTATTTTGAAATCTAGAAAATATTATCTGCTGCAGTAGTTCTTTAAGAATGCCCACTCCTTCCAGTCCCCATTTACCTGTATATAGTTCTGTAATATTCTAAGAAAAGAATAGGACATCGTCAAAGCTAGCCCTTTCCGAACTAATAGTTGAAGAAAGGAGTGTAGAGGCTGTTAACTTAAAAATTAACTTTTTCACTCTGTTTTGTTGATTTTTTTGGAGGGGATTCAGGAATACTGCAGGGCAGAAACTCTGGAGTAGTAGGAGTGGGATACAGGGTGACTGGTGTTGAGGCAGTGATTGTAAAGAATTCAGTTCAAGTGCAGAGAATCTGCGGTGAGCCGAGAAGACAATAGTGAGGGAAAAACTCAAAGGATGTTGTTGGCTTTGGAAAGTTGAGTTTCTGGAGAAGCAAGGATAGCAAGGCAATACTTGTCTCCTGGCAAATAATTTCATTGCCCTAGAATGTAGTGGATGATGGCCTAATAGCCACAAAATTTGACATGCACCTCGGGGGACAGCTTCTGCATGTCATGAACACAGGCTAACATCCAGAAAAGTAACCAAAGATCAGCAGCCTAAGGTCAAGAATAATCAGAATCAATATTAAATTTCACTGTGAGCAAATGCCAGGTGAAAGAAGAGGAGGTGATAATTAATTTTATATTTAATGTGATTGGAACTGAGCAAGTAATTTCAGTACCAATTATAATCTGGCAATAGAAGAACTTAGCCATCTGTACATATATCTATGGGTGAAGGCAGAAGCTGTTACAGGTTTGTAATAAGTTTCTGCTACAGATATAACCTAGGCTTAATATAAGCATGCACTTAGAAACAGTTCAAGTGAGCTTGAGGTTATCTAGAGTCACACAGTTGTGCCTTAGGTAAGTGCATATTGCCTCTTGGTAAATTATTTGTAAGACAAATTAGGATTTGTGATTTTTTGGTTTTGACTATGATTGACTAGGGAGATGTGGTGCATGTTCTGTTAGCTGCAGCTGGAAGCACTCAGTTGTGTTAAACAGAAATGGGGAAAATATCAGTGCCTCATGCTTCACCATTCATCCACAAAATAGCTCTGTTAAGGAAAGAAAATATGTCTAATAGGAAATAATAAATGTGGTAAACATTGTGCACAAAGGCAGTTTTTTCTCTGACTCATACTTGGTATTCTTGCTTAAACTTTTTTAAAAGAGCAGACAAACCCTCAAAGAGAAAGAAACACAGTTGTTCCTGAATTGTTGCCAAAACCCCACAGTTTTTTTGTTGCTCCAAGATGTGTGCCATGAGATGTCACTATGACGTTGCATAACCATACTGTGTTTTCAGAGAACCATACAGATAGGCGATAACGTTATGTTTAAAATGAAGAGTGTATTCCTGCTCTCTGGCAGCTGTTGATGGTTCGCAAACATGCATTTTTGCAAGCCTTAGTGTGAACAAGGGTCTTACTTTCTTGGGTCAGGATGTGGACCACGGATCTGCAGGGAAGACACTTGTGCAAATGATGTTTTCTCTGTGCAGCCATAACTTGTGGCATGATGCCCACTGCTCTAGTTTCCTCAGGAAGCTGTCCACTCTGGCACCATTTCAGTGGGAATGAGAACAGAGCAGTGTGCATGCCAGGCAGTTTTCTTGGGAGGGTCGGCCACCCAATCGGAGGGGGCACAATGTCAGGTTCATGCTTGTGAGGGACACAAACAGCCGAGTGCCAAAAAGCTGTTCTTGAGAGGGATTAGCAGGAGAAGGGCCAACAGCTCTGTTGTTCATAGAGGACTTTGGGAAAAACAATGGGGTAAGAATAACTGTAGCTCTTTCATTAAAGGATGGCTACTAGTCATGGAAGCTTTTGGTTCCTTCAACCAAATATCCTCAAGCCCTATTACTTCTCAGATTTATTCTTCTTGGCTTTGGTGTCATAATAGTGACAGCTGAAGGAGAGGGTCTTCTTAGCAAAAGCTTAATAAAGATGGGTCAATAGATCTTCCCATTTTGCTCCACTAATTTATGCAAAAGTATTCCTTCCTGACAAAATATGTAGTGACAAAATAATGCAGTGGAGTCTGTGTTGCAATAGTTATTGTACTAAAAAAAAAAGTTATGGTATATTAAAGTATTACAGTACACTCTTCAGGTGAAGCATGGCAAGAAATCACATGTAGAAATATTAATTTTATTTTTATTTTTCTTTGATTTTGGCTCTTTCTTGCTATCATTAAAGATTCAGTAGTGCACAGTATGCCTTGTCCACTACTGAGAACTAATGGGCTACAGTCGTTGACACAGGTCATTGCACTTGAATTCTTTGTAAAATGTAGCCTGTTACTTTAAGCATGTTACATACATAATTCATTAAATGTCATTGCTTTATAAATTCTGTAATTATGGTCAAGAATTATGGTACACTTTCCAGAGAGGTCTGTAGCTCTGTTCTTGATGTAGGGACAAAGAATCAAGACTTTTCATGAACTTCAGCTTGATTTGGAAACACTCAAACTGAGTACCTCCACAAAACAATTATTAATAAAGGTAATAAATTTGTTCTCATCAGGAACTGAAATTTACATAGGAATATAAGATACTCAAGTTGTCTACCTTTTCTACTTATTAGCAGTCCTCTAAGAGGTCATCAAATATGTAAATACAGACACTGGTGAAGAAAAAAAATCTATCATGTTCTCTGATGGGAGAGAAAGAAACAGGGCAGGTAAGTTGGCAGAGGGACTGGAATTTACTTGGATGTGTTTTTCTCTTTTTTACTCTCTTGCTGTGGGAATTGCTGAATTATTAATGCAATAATAAAGTCCATTTGATATGAATAGACTCCTAATCACTAAAGAAATTATTTGTAGGAGCAAAATTATTAGAATCGGAGTTGGCTGGCTGGTGCCTGATTAAATGATATCCAATGAAGCAACAAAATGTAAAACAAGTGCATTTTTACAAGAATTATTTGATGATTTTTCTTCTTCCTCTGTGTGATTTTATGTCAAAGATTTGCTACTGCAGTCTTTGGGACTGGTGGCAGAGAGAAGAAGATGATAAACATCTCTCAAAAAAACCCTGACTTTGCCCCAGACTTTCAAATTAGTTTCACTGGGCTGGTGGGGGCAACACAGAGTGTATGCGAAACACAAGAAATAATATCAACATGATTATTGTACTTTTCCTATATTTGTTTTTTAATTTGCTTTATCCTCTTACAGGTGACAAAATTAATTTCACCCTACTTCTTTTCTGTTACAATATTTCACTTCAGTGTGTCTATTTTGAAGACGAGCAGGCAGATGAGACTGGGGTTATGTAGGCTGAGGTAGTTGCAGTGAGGTATAAACACTTCATGATTTATTTAACCTTTGAGCAGAAATTCCTTTCTGGTAGAATTAATCTGCAAATAGCTGAGGTGTGCTACCTCTTAAGTTATGATTCATTATGCAATATAACAAAACTATACTGGTATCAGATTTAGGACTGATGTATGTATAAATATAAGCCAGATAAAACTGCCAGGTACTGTGACTGATGGGTAGGTTCAAGGTATTCTAGGCAGGTAGAGTCAGTCTGCCTTGCCTCTCTAGCTACAAAATTATGCATATTGTACAACTGGTAGTAATATGCAGTAAATAAAACATTATGGAACAACAATTGAAAGTCAATTTAAGCAAAGACTAATCTGAGATGGACAATACCCCACATAAGTAATCTATGTTCTTGACAGGGGTTAATCTTGGTATTTTAAATGGACTGATCTATGTGGACTAGTATCGACTTAAGGCAATCATATTCATGATTTAGGGGAGGTCATCTGTTCATTTTGCAAACTTCTGCTATTGTTTCAGCATTTGTTGGTGCCTGAAGACCAGGTATTTCCTCTGGGTCTCAGGTCTGCCAGGACTCCAAAGCTATTAGCACAGCACATTTTTGGTTTCCTTGCCCCTACAAGGGCCAAAGATCCAAGAAAGAATCAAAAAGGCTCATTCAGTCTGTTCAAAAATGCATTGGTTAAAGCTCATACATTCACTAGCAAATGTGTTTTGTTTTGGTTTACCCCCTGAGGTAAACCATAGCAAAAAAGAGATTCAAAGGATGGTGG